TTTATTCGCATTTACACTCTCGAGACACGAGCAAAGTTACATCCGTATATTTTAACCGGAAATTCATCTGTCATTGTCGATTGCGTGAAATTCTTTATTATCAATCAGAAACTTTCTCTGGCAATCTGATAGAAGCGCGATGAGAAATTGTTCATTCTTTTTAAATAAAATTATTGAAAAACTTCTATCAATAATATATCATATTGGCTTCGCGTTTTAGACATTCCGTTATAAATTATTTTTAAAAAATATTAGAGATAATTGTATTATTGAAATTATATATATTTTAATCATTTATCTTGTTTACAAATTTATAATATTTTTTGTAATTTTCGTATGAGATAAAATTTATAAATATTATTTCGTAAATATATTTACAAATTAAAAAGATTTATAAAATTTATCAGTCTAAATATCGTTTTCTATACAAAAGTTTTCTTTTTCTTTATTATGCAATAAGTTTTTTTATTATACTTTACTTATAATATTTTTAATGTATTTTTCTCTTCGTATTATTTTATTATAATTTTTGTAATTTTCTTACAAAAATAAAGAATCAGAAAAATGAAAAGGATTACTATATATCTTATAAATATTACACTTTTGTAAATTACATAAGTTTGGTAATTTACGTTAATGATACGATTACATTGTTCAATCTATTTCTACTTTGCGTGTATAATTATGTGTGCGCAATCAGTTAAAAACATATCCAAAGCACTCGATTAATATGAAAAGCATCTATTCTCATATTACATCAATTCGACTTATTCCATAAATAGAAATATATTGTTCCACAAAATTATCATCAAACCGAACAAACAAAATCGAAAAAAATTGATGAAGGATACTTAGACGAAATGAGAAAAAAATATATATCGGCTATAAAAATATTTTATTTCATTTACAAATTACTGTGTTTTTATAACTAGGAACAAAAAATTCGCCTAATCGATGTATTTCACCCGCACGTACACCTTAATTAATCACGTATGCGTTTCTCTTTAATATATTATAATTAACGTGGAAAAGTAGTCATCAACTGCAAGTATTTGCAGCGTATCGCCAATGTGTATCATATGATTAATATATTAGGAAATTATTATAAAATTGTTAAATTAATGGGTGAAAAAGTACGATGGTTCGATTGAGTCAGTCTTAAAAAACGTATTGTTGCAAATGAAAATTTCGCAAGAACGTTTATTTTAGTAAAATTTAATTGTCGTTGATGCCGCGATTGCGTTTCATCGACCTCGTCTTCTTTTCTACCTTTTATTTTTCTTTTTTCTCCTTCTTCTTCTTTCTGCTTTCTGACATCCGATGGTGGGCATGACGATGTCGCCGCTACTCTCACTTTCAGTGTCAAAATACTTTCACCAAGGCGGCCACCGACGGACGCTGTGGCGAATGCGAGTATGTACCTTCTATCCTTCCTATTCATGTGTTTACACGCATACAGTGCGTAATACAGTGTCAATGACTTTCGCACGCGAAAGTCGCGCGCGATCATCGATACCATTCGTCACCGCTTGCGTAAAAGAAATCGCCGGTGGGCATACGAACGCGCGCGAAATTCCCTTCGATCTCGAAAGAAGTGCACATTTGATTATCACGATCGCAGAAAGAAAGTTGCGCGACCAAGCCTCACGAAAAGTAACATAAAACACACACACACACACACACACACGCGCGCGCGCACGCGCGCGCGCGCGCGCGCTTTTATATGTTTATGCATATACCACTTTATTTTAAGTCACCTTACTAAATATTGCGGTATGAAATGATAAGATGCACTCTAATCAATTTTCAACTGATGTACATATAGATTTAATTGCAGTTAAATTATTCGCGAATGCTATGGGATATGGAAACGGTTCAGCCGAGTGGACATCTGTCCGGATTTGTGGACAAAGCTCTGAAGCTACTAGATCTACGGCAAGTAATGATGGAGGTTGAAACATCTGTAATGTCCAAGGTTTCTTGCACTGCTTGCAAAATCGGCGCTGGTTTACTGCAGCATTACATAAAAAACGGCAAGAGCGACGAGGAGATTATGGCGAGCATTTATCAATTTTGTGTGTCGCTTAACATACAAAGCGCCCGAGTTTGCCACGGAGTCACTTTACTCTTTGGGGTAAAATCTTGATATGTATTTACTCTGTATCAGTCATTGAAAAAAAATTATTACATATTTTTGTAATAATATATTATATATTATATAAAATATATATTTTTCTTTAACAACAGAGATATATACATATACAGTATGTCTGCTGTGTGTGTGTGTGTGTGTGTGTGTGTGTGTGTGGTGTGTGTGTGTGTGTGTGTGTGTGTACATAGATGTATGTTTTATTAAATAAAGATTAAAGCTGACAAATCTACATCGTAGGGAGAGGTGATTTATGTGCTGAAGCAAGTGAACATGGGTCCGGCGCAGATCTGCAGTTTCGTGATCGGCGATGCGTGCGATGATGCATACAACCCGTTGCACGAGTGGGAGGTGGCCTTCCCACCGGTCAAGAAGCCCCCGATCAAGCCGCCAATTCCGCCGCAGGAAGGCGCGCCGACATTCAAGGTCTTACATATTTCCGACACGCATTACGATCCATACTATCAAGAGGGTGCGAACGCCGAATGCAACGAGCCTCTCTGCTGTCGGCTGACGAACGGCGCTCCGTTGACCGCTTCAGCCGCCGCCGGACGATGGGGCGATTACAGAAAGTGCGACACGCCCAAGAGAACGATCGACCATATGCTCAAGCACATCGCCGACACACATTCGGTGAGCAGCACGTGCACGAAATTAAATTCACGTCGTTACGTCAAACGTCAAAGAAACATGATGAAAAAGAGCGGGAAATATTGCAAGCCAACCTTGCATGTTTGAAATCAATTTTTAGCTGTGTGTTCCGGTCGACGAGAAATGATTTTATTATGACATAAAATGCGAATTTGCATATTAATAATATTCCCTGCGAGATGAAAGAAAATTACTACCTCCGCATGGAAGGAACGGTTTTGTTTAAATAACTAAAAAGTTGGCTATATACATCTGAAAATAATTTTGTTAAACCGTTCAAACAATTATGTAGAATTGCATAATTTAAGATGATATTATTTCGTCAAAATTCAATCAAAAATCTTTTGATATTCTAGATCAATCAGCTTGAGCGTCCTATAATTATTTTGATAGTTCAGTATAATTATTTTCAGATCTGTGTCTACCCAAATTTTTACGTGCTTTAGCAAAACCGTTCTTTCCATGCAAGCTTTATAGATTTGTCAATTATTCTTATAATAATTGTTTAATTTCTTCGTTCCATCTCGAGAAAAAGAGAAAATTTCTATTGTTTAAAAAAAAATTGCAGGATATCGATTATATTTTGTGGACGGGCGATTTGCCACCCCATGACGTATGGAATCAAACACGAGAAGAAAATCTAAAAGTTTTGCGTGACACGGTCACGCAAATGGTGGAGATGTTTCCTGGCATACCGATATTTCCGGCTCTAGGAAACCACGAGAGCGCACCGGTCAACAGGTACATCCGCTGCGTTCATATAGATAAATTCGCTTTCACTTTTCTAGAAAATATCACTTCAGATTACGATTCATTTATGATATATCCTATCCTAGACCTCATCTAGACATAAGACAGAGTGTTTTCTCTTAAGAGATTCTATCACATAGAATAGATTTTAAATTTAAGAGATGAAAGTTGTATCATATATAAAATAAAATACGAGAGAAAGGGAAAGGGGAAATAACTGAATCGTCATCAAATATTTCTTACACTTCTAATTAAATTAAATTTTACATTATTGATTGTGGTAAAAGACTTTACTTTAGGAAATAGCGAACATTCGACAATGGATTTGTAATGTAATGTGGAAAAATTTTTATCTTCGTATCACTGCCTCTATAATAAACGGAAATAAATTTATTTTGATGCACAAATATGTAAATCATATGCAAATATTAAATGAAAAATTAAAAAAAAAAACCACGTATTTTTAACCACGTATTTTAGATTATATCTTTATATTTTTATAATCTTACTAAAATGAGTATCCATTGTGCCGTTTCTTTTAGTTTTCCTCCACCCTTTGTGCCTCAAGAAAATAGTATTTCATGGTTGTACGATGAACTCGATAAGCACTGGCGACGTTGGCTGCCAGCTGGTGTGTCTCATACCGTCCGTCGCGGCGCCTTCTATTCAGTCCTAGTTCGACCAGGTTTTAGGATTTTGTCTGTAAATATGAATTATTGCAACAATAAGAACTGGTGGCTGTTAATCAACAGTACGGATCCGGTCAGCGAGCTGCAGTGGCTCGTATACGAGCTACAAGGTGCCGAGATCAATGGTGAGAAAGTACACATTATTGGCCACATCCCACCCGGACATTCAGATTGTTTAAAGGTGTGGTCAAGGAATTATTATCATATAATCAATCGGTTCGTACTTGATCATTTGCGATTTGCCGGATCGAACTCTATCGCATTAGATGACAAATGCTCTCCTTCCGTCTTTACATAGCTATGAATCAACGATCACAGCACAATTCTTCGGGCACACACATTATGACGAGTTCCAGATATTCTATGATACATCAGACCTTGGTAGAGCACTCAGCATCGCCTACGTCGGTCCCTCGGTCTCGCCATACTATGATCTCAATCCCGGTTACAGGATATATTACGTCGATGGAGATCATTCCAAGACTACAAGAGTAAGTAAAATAACATAATTACACAGAGCACAAGCACAATCGGAATATACTGAGAACGTTCCTATGAATTTTCATGTCTTGAGCGTTATTCATCATTTTCTACCTAACACGCATGGCTTATGATTCCAGATGGTCGTCGATCATGAAAGCTGGGTCATGAATCTAAAGGAGGCGAATCTTTATGATTACCCGATCTGGCATAAGATGTATAGCGCACGGCAAGCCTACCAAATGCCGTCGCTTTTGCCAAAGGACTGGGATGCGCTGATCGACAAGATGACTAACGAGCCAGCTCTATTTGATCTTTATTATAAGTAATATTCGCATTACGCATATGATGATCAATGCCATAATTTTATAAAAGAATGTATAACCGGAAATCTTGTAACATTGTAACGTATTAATAGAAAAATTTCTTATTATGCATAATAACATACTTGTATTTATTATAAATTTTAACGAATGAAGAAAAAATGTAAGTGAAAATGCTTCATGACATCTTAGGAAGGGAAACTAAGATTCTGTATCCTTGAGAAAATATAATACAACATATTTGCTTTTGCAGACATTACTACAAGAACTCTCCGGTGCGACCGGCTTGCAACGATGAGTGTCGTAAGAGATTACTCTGTGATTTGCGCAGCGGAAGAAGTCATGATCGAAAAGCGTTATGCCAGAGTCTGGAGGCGAGGATTGACGACGAGACAAGAACAGGCTGGCGTGCTTGGATCTACAAAGGACTCGCATTATCGTACGTAAAGGATTTGTGGTTCCAAATTCATTCCGGTAACGTTACAACTAATGAAGTTGATTAATCGAGTATTCCAAGTACATCGCAATTATCCCATATAAATATCATCTCAAAAACAGATCCACAATTGTTTCTTAATCCTTATAGTTTGAAACTTTTTTTTTACTTATAAAGAAAATAAACTTATTTTAAACATATAATTTTTTCATGATGTGTAATTAAAAGTCTGCTTTTTTATTTCATACATCATGTTTTTCACGAGTAGCTGTGCATTTCCAATATTTTAAAAAACGGACTCAAATAATTATGAAATTGAAAAAACTGTAATGATTTATGACAATACAAAAATTTCTACAGAGATGATCGAGTCTGTGACATCTAACAATATTACAGTTTTATAATAAAAATTAAAATTATTAATAATTAATTAATAATAATTATTGAGAAAGGGTTGTTTAAAATATTGGAAATAAATGTAGATACAAATAACACAGCTTGTAACTGCGACATGTTAATGAAATGCAAAAAAATATTAACAATGTATACGCATTAACAATATTCTGATAACAAAATTGCTGTAGACTGATTAATTAGTATATTAATACGTTAATCAATATATATATATATATATATATATATATCACTTAAGAATGTGTCATATGCATGTATTCCGTAATTCTACAATGTCAAAGATATGACTAAATATCAATTTTTTTATATACATAAAAGAAGTTAATTAAATTTTTTCTTTATATTAATTATATTTTTCATATTATTTTAGCATAGCTTGTTAAAAATAATTTTAAAAGTGTAGTTAAAGTCTACATAGAATAATTAATGTTGAATACATTTTTTCTTATTTCAACAATGATTGAAATAATATCATTAATAGTACTAAATATTATTTTCATAATTTTATTAATTAATAAATTTTTATTAATTAATTTAATTAAGATATATACTTTATTAAACGGTATTATTTCTGAGAAAGAGAAAATAAGATTCTTTCTATTTTACAAATAATCACACAAATGTTAATTAAAATAAAAATTGATTACCCATAAAAATTTAATTGCTCTTTTCGGTTTTTTTGCTTGTGTTTTATTAAATTAAATTTAATTTTATTAAATAGTATATTATAAGAATAACAGTTATATTGTTATATTGTATAACGTTTTATCTTCTCTTTTTCTCTTATTAATTAGCATAAGAATTTGTAGTAATATCGGTAACAGATTTTAAGATCGCAAATAGATACCCGCTCAATAATATATATTTAACAACTTGTCAATTCACTCCTTATTCAACAGCTTCAGAAACCTAATGAATAAACGTCGACCAATTGCATTTATAATAGCGGCAAGATCTAATATGGTTTTGTTTAAAATATATATAACCGTTTGCACTCCAAAGAGTTTTCTTATAATCAATTAGTGATATACAAATCATTGTGTAATGATTGTATGTAATCTGCATGAGAGATTGAGAACACTAATTTCAACAGAGAGAAATCGTATAATATAGCAGAATATTTGATTCTTTTTCGTTGTTTCAGAATTTTCTTCAAAAAACATGTCGCGTCGTAATTCAAGAGTTAGTTTTTATGCAAGTTCCTTCGAGCGTCGATTATATCAAAAGAAAAAATAAAAAAAAATAGAATTCCATGTAAATTATAAAATATTAATATAATTTTAATTGGGTGCCTTAGTGATTGAAACATTGTAAACATATGTAAATATATATCTTTTCGTAACATGACAATTTTTCCAATAAAACGAACAAGAACTGGTATTGGGTCTGTCTAATATACTGTAAATACCTTTTAATCACTTAAATTTCAGGATCATGCAGAAACACACATTGCGCGTAATGAATATTAACAAATATGCGAAATTGCTTCATATTGTGCAAAAATACTTTCTTTAAAAGCACTTAATCTCGTAAGCTCGTTGTAGCACTTGAATCAGCTTTGCCGATAATGTCAAATATTTAATTGTATATATATTTAGAAAAAAATACATCTTGTTTGGTGACGGAGGATAACAAGTGATGATTGATATTTCTATCTTCATGCACCGTACACTACAGTAAGTAGCACTAATATACATATAAATTGCAAATAAATTTCATATTAGTTAATTGAACCAATCGCATAATTTCCAAAACAGCAATTATGTATGCACTCAAAACAATACATGTTATAGTCTTCTTAATATTTCTGATTTATTTAATATTACATTAAATGATTTAATGAAAAAATTTCGCGTAAATAATTGAAATAATTTAATTTACGTTACGTTATTGAAAGTATTAATAAACGACAGAATATCGTCTCGTAATCTTGAAACTTGCGTCAAATTAATTAATTAATTGATTATATGATATAAATTAGTTAATATTTACCTAAATTATAATAAAAATTCTGGTAAAGAAAGTTATAACAATATTGATATTAATAATGTAACTTTCTATGCGATTGGTATAAACAATATCTTCTTAGTTGTCCAAGTTATTATTGTCCCAATATAGCTTCTGTAGAATGCTTATTAGTTGGTTCATGTTACTAATATTTATGTGAGCTATCTGTTTTTCATCTGTACCACAAATCATAATTATATCGCATAAAGCATAAAAATTTTAAAAAATTCGACTGTTACATTTTAGAAAACACAAAAAGCACTTTATTGCTTATACTGCAAGAAGATCTATTATTTATTTTTTTCATTCATTTAATGAAAAAAGATCTTGATATTTCTTATTAAAAGCGCAAACAACACACACACACACACACACACACACACACATATACACACATTATATCATATATTTAAACATTAGCAAAAATCTAAACATTTCAGATAAGTTTCAAATAACAAAAATACACAAAGACAATAATTATTCGATAGACTCAATCTTAGTCTAATAATTTTTTTTTTTTTTGTTAAATTTATATATACAGAGGGTGATTCATTTTAATCCATCCAGCTAAATATTTTGAAAACTAAGACTGACAGACAAAAATGTTTTAGACAAAAGTTATATGGTTTGAAAGGGGACATAAAATGGTGTCATTGGTTTGATCTTGGATAATTGTTTGAAGATCACATAAAGATCACTTTCAATTTTTTAAATGGAAACCCTCATTGTTCATTGCATATATTCTTGCTGTAGCTTACTTCGAGAATTTTTCAAAATACTACAATAAAGTAAATATTATAATAAAGTAAATACTATAATTGTTTTATAAAGTACGTTCTGAGTTATGAATATTTGAATTTGAAATATAAATATTTCGTAAACTATTCATTTTTTGGCAGTTATATCTTAACACTTTTATGCACAGAATAATGAGATGAATCAGTTAATGTAATAACATCCGTAAACATATGAATATTATTATAATCGAAATTTTTTCAATTTGCAGGATGTCTGTGGTTATGGCCATCCCCAGGTTTGCATACAATTTACCAAAGTATGTCCTAGGATTGGGTTAGAACGATGGAATGAACGCCAAGTGCAAATTTTTGAATAAATTTGTGATGTTAAATTATTAAAAATACTCACGCTATCGTCGTAGCGTTCAAAACGCGAATTTCGACGCTATTGACGATCGACGATTACCTTCGTCGAAATTAAATATTATGTTCCATTTGCAATTATTTTGCAAAATCTCACACATTTATTAATTTTTCAACTTTGAAAGTAATTAAAAAAAGAGAGTAATTCAAAGAAAAGAAAGAATAAATTAACGCAAGTCATTTTTATGGAAGGAAAATGAAAAATTTTACTGGGTAAAATAAATTTCTCAGTCCTTAAAAAATCATGCGTTAATATAAAAATATATGAAAAAATTTTTCATGTTTACAAAATTCCAATATCACATTCTAGTTTTGAAGTTTAAATATTATAAAAATGTAAAATAAATTTTTGTAAAATAAATTTCTTTTAATTTTTGACAGATATCGCGCGCGCGATAAATAAGCTTCTTTCTAACCATTTGAATGCCATGTGGCATGATTGCACTATTTTTGTTACCCTTCAAAACTAACACCAAGCCATGTGCAATTCATAATTCATTTAATTTTGTCAAAAGATTGATTCGCTAACAAATTTATATATTATAACAAATAGCAATTATGATAAAGAATTTATACATTTATACTATTTATAAATCTCGTATGTATAATAAATTGCAAATTTCAAATTGTGAACAGTATGAATTACACATAGGCCGAGGTCCGATTCATTTTTGACGTCATTCTATCTTTATGGTTCATTAGATGTAAAACAAGAATAGAATGAACGCCAATAGTGCTTGGAGCGTGAATCGACCATAGTGACGCTTAACACATGCAACAATTTAAATTCAATTGATACGCTTAGATTCTATTACATATTATTACATATTATTACAACTTGAAGTAGATTTAATAAATTGCAATTTTCATTTTCGTAATTTTTATCATAAATTCTTACAAGAAAGAAATAAAAAAGCGCGCAAATAAAAAGAATGTGATCGCGCTGCTTACAGATAGCAAAACAGATAGATGTCAAAAGCACGACTTGCGAAGTTATGCTACATGTTATGCCGGCAAAAATCGAGCAGCAATCCTTGCTACAGCAGCATGGGCTGCTGTAACAAGTACAGCCAGCAAAAATGCAGCACATATCAAGCAAGCTTTGCATCATAACATGCTGCAAAAATGCTGAAAAAATTGAACAAAGTCTTGTCGTCATAAATACATTAGAATTCAAGCATTTTGTGTTGCCACAATATTCAACAGAAAATACTCCAAAATTTAGTCATAATATGTCGTCAAGACATATTGCAAAAATGTAGTAAATATCTGGCATATTTATTCTTTCACACTGTGAAAGCAGAAATGCGGAGTACAGCGTGCCAGCACATCGTGACCATCATTTCTCTGAAGTCGCAAAATTTCGAAAGGTACAAAGCACGGTCTACTTTATCAGTGTGTCGACAAAAACGCAGCAGAAATCAAGCACAGCGTCATTATAAACAAGCGTCAGTATAAATAAGAATAGCAGGCTCACTCTGTATCAGCATCTTTGATCTGATAACTAAAAGATCGCCATATTGCTGATTGTGCGTGGACTCTAATTTAAAAGAGAATTTGTATTATTAAGAAGAGATATATTTAATAATAATATTTAAAAAATGACTATAAAAAGATTTTAAATGAAATATTCTAATTTGTTTTTAATCAAAATATAATAATTTTATTGAAATTATAAAATATTATACAATAA